AAGGTTAGGAGGTTGCATAGGTGGTGGTGGGGGGGCAAGACCAAGGAGGGCTTTGAAGGTGAGGACCAGGATCTTGAACTGTATTTTCTGTGTGATGGGAAGCCAGTGGAGCTAGCTGAGGATGGGGGTGATAGGGTCACGGAGCCTGGTGCGGGAAACAATACGCGCTGCAGAGTTCTGGATGATCTGCAGACTATGGAGGGAGGAATTGGGAGGTCGGCAAGCAGGGAGTTTGCATAGTCAAGCCTGGATGTAATGAATGCATGTATGAGAGTTTCGGCAACCCGCAGTGTGAGATAGTGGCGGATCCGAGTGATGTTGCGAAGATGGGGGAAGGCAAGAGCGGGTCATGGCATGGATGTGGGGCAGTGGAGGGTCAAATAAGACGCCAAGGTTCCGGACTGGCTTCGTAAGGTGGAGTGTGCAACCATGGATGGTGATGCTGTTAGCACCTGAGGTGTGGAGGCACTGACAGGAGCCAATCAGGAGGGCCTCGGTCTTGTTGATGTTCAACTGAAGAAAGTTAGCTCTCATCCAGGACTTGATGTCTGACAGATATTCTGTCAGGACAGCAGTGGCCCTGGAGTCAAGGGTGGAGGCAGTTGGGTGTCATCTGCATACATGTGGAAGTTGACCCCACGTCCCAAGAGGGGGGGACCAAAGACAAAGCCCCGAGGAATGCCGCACAAGACGGTGCGGGGGGCTAGAGGAGAAGCCATTTGTGGAGATGAAGTGGAGAAGGTGAGAGGTACAATCTGAACCATTCAAGGACAGAACCATGAAGGTTGAGGTGAGAGGAGAGGCGGTGGATGAGGATAGAGTGGTGAATGGTATCAAAAGGCAGCAGAGTGGTCAAGGAGGTCGAAGAGGCAGATGGAGCCCTTGTCGCAGATGGACAGAATGTCATTTGTCACTCTGACCAGGACTGTTTCTGTGCTGTGGGCGGAACAGAAACCCGATTGGAGGGGTTCGTGAAGGGAGTGGTGGGAGAGGAAGGAGTGAAACTGGGAGGCAACAACTCGTTCCAGGACCTTGGAGAGGAAAAGGAGGTTGGAGGTGGGGCGGCAGTTTGAGAGCAGTGATGGGTCTCGGGAGGGTTTTTAAGGATAGGAGTGATGACAAAATGATGTACTTTTAAATACAATTATCTATGAACATTCCAATTCTCTGACCTATTTTTAAAAATCACTTCTACACAATTTGCATTAACATAACACCATTCATGTAGGTTAAGTGTTTTTACACTCATTGATCCTCTAAACTTCACTTTTTCCTTCTTTCAAACTCCTAAAATTCAATCCCTACACACTCTTTCTCCTGCTTGCACCTTCACAGTTTTGCAACTCATCCAAGCTTTGTCTACTTCATTATTTTCAAGTACTGCAGCTCAGTAGAAATCTTTATATCCCTGAATCTTTCCTGGTTCTTATAATCTACAGGGTTTCAAAACACGAGCTTGGCAACACCTCATCTCTACTTTTTTCTCTCTCTGACTTCAAATTTGTTGGTGCCATGCATTGAGCCTTGACTCTTTATCATGATTTCTCACTGCAAACAAGAGTTTTACTTCATCAATGATTATAGGTCTGTGCAAGTCAAGGAGGTGCCGTCCTTCAGAGGAGATGTGAAACTGAGGGCCCATCTATGCCTGTTCCGGTGCATGTTAAAGATCCCATTTGAGTTTCTCCTAATGTCTCAGCCAACAATTCTCCACATAAAATTGGTCTTTAACTTCATGGCCATTTGTGAAACACTGCTGTGTACTCTTGCCTTCCTTGTCCACCGCTACATCTGGCTGGACCTCATCATGAACTACCACTCCACTCTCGCCTCAGCCAAATCATCCTTCTATTCCAGGTTAATCCTCGAGTCCAAAATCGAGGGAATCCGCTTAGCTGCCACTGCCCTCCCAACTTCCACCCCCACCCCACACAATTACCCATCCGACAATTACCCATCCCTCTTTCCACACCATTAAACCTGTCACCTCTTCCTCTGTCTTCAACTCGGTAACCTCCATGAAGTCCATCACCTGCTCCCTCGACCCCATCCCTACCCCTCTCCTTAAATCCCAGCTCCACCTCCTTGCCCCACTACTTGCCAACATCATTAACCTCTCTCTGTCATCTGGAACTGTTCCTTCCCCACTCAAAACAGCCACTATCACCCCCACCTTGAAGAAACCTTCCCTCAACCTATCACAGCTATCTAGCTACCGGCCCATTTCAAATCTCCCCTTCCTATCCAAGGTCCTTGTTGCCTCCCAGCTTCGCTCTTTCCTCTCCTCTCACTCCCTCCATGAACCCCTCCAATCGGGTTTCCGTGACGCCCACAGCACAGAAACTGCTCTGGTCAAGGTCACAAACGACATCCTGACCATGTGTAACCAGGGCTCCCTCTGCCTCCTCGTCCTCCTCGACCTCTCCGCCGCTTTTGACACCGTGGACCACTCAATCCTCCTCCACCGCCTCTCCTCCCACCTCAACCTTCAAGGTTCTGTCCTTGACTAGTTCAGGTCCTACCTTTCACACCGTCTCCACTTCGTCGCACCAAATGGCTTCCTCCAGCCCCCGCACTGTCTCGTGCGGTGTTCCTCAGGGCTCTGTACTCGGTCCCCTCTTCTTTACCCTCTACATGCTCACCCTTGGTGACATCATCCGCAGACATGGGGTAAATTTCCACATGTATGCGGATGACACCAACCTCTACCTCTCTGCCTCCTCCCTGAATTCCAGAACGACTGGCGTCCTGACCGACTGCCTGTCCGACATCAAGTCCTGGACGAGGGACAACTTTCTCCAACTCAACGTCAGCAAGACCGAGGCCCTCCTGATTGGCTCGCGCCAGCACTTCCGCACCTCAGACGTTGGCAGCATCAGCCTCCACAGCTGCACACTCAACCTCACTAAGCCAGTTAGGAAACTGGTGTCTTGTTTGACACTGAACTGTCCTTTCTCCCCCACATCTGCGCCATGACCGGCACTGCCTACCACCACATCTGCAATATTGCCAGACTTCGCCACTGCCTCACCCCTCAGGCTGCCGAAACCCTCACCCACGCATTCGTCACCTCAAAGCTTGATTACGGGAACTCCCTCCTCATCGGCCTTCCCAACTCTTCGCTTCACAAGCTGCAAATCATCCAAAACTCTGCAGCTCGTGTACTCTCATGCACCAGGCTCTGTGACCCCATCACTCCCACCCTCACCCGACTCCACTGGTTCCCCATCCCCCAGAGGATCACGTTCAAGATCCTCGTCCTCACCTTTAATGGCCTTGCCCCCTCCTACTTCTCTGACCTGCTGACTCCCTAACAACCTGCCCGCTCCCTCCGTTTATCGGGCTCCAGCCTGCTCCATGTCTCCCGCCTGATCCGCCCTACCATCAGTGTCTGGGCTTTCAGCCTCTCTGCCCCCACACTCTGGAACTCCATCCCATGGTCCCTTCGCCTCGCTTCCTGCCTTGCCTCCTTTAAGGCCGGTCTCAAGATCCTTCTCTTCGACAGTGCCTTCTCTTCGACTCCCACCTTCCTGCCTTCCTTCACCCCTACACCACCCCTCCCCCATTTTCGGGCCCCGACACCTGAATGTTCAGCGCTTTGGGACGTCCTCCCGACGTGAAAGACGCTCTATAAATGTAATTTTGTTGTTGTTGTCTGACTAACAGTAACAAAGAACACAATTGCCTTATAACCACCTCAGATATTTTCTCTGGTTTTAACCATGTGTAGAGGTCAGGTCACCAGGTCACAAACTCTCATTGTACTTTTTTTTCCAAATAACTACTTGAAGGGAAGAAAGAAATGTTCAACTATTGTTGGTGTTAAAAATATCAGGTGTTGTCGTCTAATATAATAATATCCCTTGCATTTGATATAACGCCTCTAAATTTGATAAAGTTAATTGACGGTATATCTTGTGAGTGAAACACAGCAGCTAATTGCGTGCAGCATTGTCCCACAAACAGTCGTGGATTGAAATTTTTTTCTTATTGATTTATTTTTTTGAAGGGATTATTACCCCCAGAAAAGCAATCCGACAATCGATTAACAACCGGGTTCTACTTACTGCTAGGTAAACAGAGGTGCATGGAGTAAAGACACTTGCCTAACGTTTCGCCCTACTTGGGAATCAAACTCAGGCCCTCTCGCTTGCGAGGCGAGTGCTCTAACCAATACGTTACAGGACTCCACAATATGCAGTAATTTCTGCCAGGATTCCTTAATACAGAACCCAGAATTATGTTGTGCCAACTTGCAGGAAACCTACTCTGACGCAATCTACTTTTAGAGTGGAGTTCCTGTGAGTTGGCATGGATTGTTTCTGATCACTGGAATGCATGCCCAGTTGGATTTCTTATTAAAACATCTAGCTAGAAATTACCACAAGTTAGTTTCCACTGCCTGTTACATAATAATCCACTCAATGACAGTGAAGATTGCTAACTCAAGCCTGAATCAAATACTAATGTTCCACCTCAGGGAATTTTCATTTACATCATATTTATTATAAGCAGCATCTTTTTCACCAGGGGTTCCCAACTGACTAAAGGTAGCATTGGGTTAGTGAATGGAACGGATCAGATTGAAAGAGCGCAGCAATCAGAAAGGTTCAGCAAATGATTAAAAATAGTCGGGAGGGAAAAAAAACAACTTGATTTGGGTTTGGTGTTAACAATAGACTGATTACATCAATGCGTTCGAATGGCGGGCATGGTTCAGAGTTCAATGTTAAAATTCACATATTTCAGTTGCCAAAGGCATCCTTTGCAGGCCTCAGAAAGAGAAATGCATGAGGTAAGTGGATCTCATCTGAACAAATTTGGAAGCCAACCCCCTGCCTTGCAAAGTTACAAACTGTTTTAAAATCAGTTTATGAATTAATTAAAGCAAATATAAATAAGACTTCAGAAAAAAGTCTTACCTCAGCGAATTCATATACAAGCAGTTGGGAAATGTGTTTTGCATGCAGAACAATTTAAATATTATACTAGAATCCTACCGGCAGGAATTCTCCAATCAGTTGTGGTCTGATGCCTCCAAAAATGTATGGCGGATCTTTCTCTGCACTGGAGTCTATTTAATCTCTCTGCTAGTCCTCCCCTGTAGAAGATAAAAGATAATTATATTTCTGTTCTCATATGGCAAAGCTTTTACAATGAGATTACAGAAATCTGTGTGTATCACAAGATCAGTTCAGATAAAGAAGGCCGTTTGGCCCATCTGATCTCATTCTTCCATCTCATCATCAAGCTGTTTTTTAAATGAGTCCAGTTTCATAGCCTCAACCATTCTTCCTGACAACCTGGCTTGTACGATTAACGGGAGCTGAGTGGGATGACTCTGTGCCCCCATTGACTGGTCTGTCCTTCCAGGTCCTACTGATGAGCCAGGCTGGTTGTGCTGCCATCAGCAGTACCCTGGAATACTGCAGACCCGCCTGGCTCAGGAGCTGGACTACCAAGACCGCCGTAGAAGGCTTAATCGATTCTGTCATCCTGTTGCCAGGATGCCACCTTGGATGTTTCATGATCATGGTCACATCATGGGAAACCGTGGAATTCAAAAATACTAGCTCAATATATCTGTGGTAGGTGACACACGCATTAATTGTTATGTGATGCTAGAGACACAGGCTTCAATCCATAGGCAGCATCAAACTTGCACCTTGTGCCAAGGTCCAGACTACCAGAGCCAAAAGGAATTCTCCACTCTGAGAGGCCCATGCTAGAGGGAGGTTGAGAGAAAAACAGGCAGAAAACTGTGACAGAGATTATCAGACAGAGAAACACAAAGTGAGTCAATAACGAATAAAAATGCAAGCGATGTTCAAGAGCTTTTGAAATTCACAGTGCAAATGGATTTTTTAGGTTTTTTTGAAGTTGTTCAGTACGTCAGTAGTATGTTAAAGGCTTTGCTGAATTTTATATCATGTTACACAAGACTGAAAATGCAAAAGCCTTATCAAAATGTTGTATGTGAGTAGGCACCATGTGTTAAAAGTGAATGCAATCAAAATGACATTTTTAATAAATTATTATCAATGTATTTTGTTTAGGCATACACATTCTCAAATACAACATAATCCCATTTTATGGAATAATACTGGCTTGGATACACAACATTGCATTACCAAAATAGAAAAAAAGCCAAGTTAACATTTACAGGATTCAATTATGCAGAGTTATATGATTAGACAAAAATGGGTTTGGCAGGGAGAGGGGAAACATTATTTTCTACACTAACCTTGCTGTTCATGTTGCCTTTGCAACTCAGCAAAGGTCAGCCTGTTTTTCTGTGCATAATTATATAAGTAGAGTTGAATATTATGAAATCAAAGCAAAACATGATTGCTTTATAAAGGGCAATGTACCTATAAGCAGACAATTAAACACCCACACATCATTCACGGTAGGTGTTCTTTACCACAATCTTGATTCTCCCGTAAAAACGTTTTAGGCAGTACTGACCACATTACTGAACATTCTGTCCACAACTTGTAGCTGATTTAATAGTTCAAAAACACCACTGTCTTCTCTAGTTTGCAAATATTAAAATATTCAGAAGTAATATAAGTGCTGGCAAAGCAATTAACTTGGAATAATTCTGCACAAAACTGGGAGGTATCAATCATTGCAATCATGTACACATTTTTTGTCTGTTTACAGATTTACGTTGCCTTTTGAGGAATTTTCAATCGGGAGATATCCTCAGGATGGTACGTCGTGTGAACTGAATATTTTAAGTCTTCTCTAATATGCAAATATTTTGCAAAATATTATTTAGTCTCTCAGGTTACGTGTAGTCTCTGACCATACCTTACTCCAGACACAGCCGAAACACTCAGCCATGCGTTTTGTCACCTCCCACCTCGACTATTCAAATGCTTTCCTCGCCGATCTCCCCAGCTCCACCAACCACAAAATACAGCTAATCCAATCTCTGCCACCCGAATATTCACCTGCAGTAAACTCTGCCCCCCCTCCCATCACATCTGTTCTAGCCAGACTACACTGGCTCTCTATCACCGAACTGGTCGATTTCAAGATCCTCACGCTCATCTTCAAATCCCTTTATGCCCTGGCGCTTCCCTACCTCTTTGACCCGCTTACTCCCCAAACAACCACTCGCTGCCTTCACGCGACAGGCTTCGGGCTCCTGCTTGTCCCTTGTGCCCTCCATTGCACCATCGGTGGCTGCGCGTTTAGCCCCTGTGACCCCAAACTCTGAAACACTCGTCCTCTACACCTTACCCCTTGCTTCCCTATCTTTAGGTCGTGCCTGAAGATCTTCCTCTTCGACCGCTCCTGCAGTCACCACCACCCTCCCCCCAGCTCAACATTGTGCTCCGCCACTGTCAAGCTCTCTGGGATGCTACGCTATGTGAGGAGCGCTATATAAATGCAGGTTCTTGTTGTTGTAGACAATTTGGTGGGGGTTGGGGGGAGTTAGCCAAGAGTCCGACATATGCGGAAACCCATTAGGGCTTTGGCTCACAGGGTTAACAGGATGTGTCATTAAAAACGGATGAAGGAAACACAAGAATCATCTCAGAGAAGGAGGAGTGTATATGAAATATATGGTTGAGAAAATGAGATGTAGCAACAAAGTTAACCTAGGCAGAAAATCTTTAACTGTACAGTCAGTTAGTACCAATCTTTTGCAATTACTCTTCCACAGAAAGAAGGTCATCAGCAGGAGTGCACAGGTCCTATCGCTTCATTTCTCCTACTCATCTCATGCATGCAGAAGAGAAAACTTAGCTCCACATTTCATAGGTTAAATGCACTCATAAAGACTTCAACTTGCGGTATATGTGGATTTGACAAAGTGTATAGAGACACAAGTGCAATGCAAAAGTTATTTGAAAGTTGAATATCACAGAATGTTATTGGCCAGGACACCGGGAGTAACACCATTCTCTTTTCGAATAGTGCCATAGGTTCTTTAATATCTACCTAAACAAGCAGATGGAATCTCGATTTAACGTCTCATCCGAATTGATTTACTACCATAACTCTTTGAAAACAGCAAAAATGTTCTATAATGTATTTCATTAGGAATGTATCAATATATCTTTGAAAACAAATACTGTAAATCTCTCTTGTCTGTTTGTGGTGGGGGGAAGAGGTTAAAACTTTCTGGTAGCAGGTCTAACTTTTTACATATAGCAGGGTTTAGTTGCAGTAAATAGATTGGTGGAGTCCTGGTTAGATTGGATAAATCGCCCTAAAATGTGCTAAAATGGCGGATGTATCGAAAGATTTTCTACGCGATTTAGCACGTGGATTCTTGCCAAAATAAGATTTTTTTATTCAAAGTAAAACAAGCAGAGCCATTTACCCATATCTAAACCATTCTCCATAATATTTTTAAAAGTTGCATGTTACTTCAGAAACATTTTCACACTCTCCAAGCAATCATCATTTTGAATCAATCATTTTCCTTGCATAAAACAAAAACAGAAGTCGCTGGAAACACTCATCAGGTCAGGCAGCATCTATGGAAAAAGGAAAGTGAGTGAACGTTTCGGGTCCACGACTCTTCATCAGAACGTGTCAGTTCCACGACCCTTCGTCAGTCAGTACTTTGTGTTTTGTTTATATTTTCCTTGCATACATAGAGACAACTCCCAAATTTTTCAAATATTCAGAATTCTTTTCTTAATTTTACCTGAGAAGTTTCACTTGATTAACAAACACACATGCTATATGTGGTGCAGAGTGCAGCCAATCTATCCACAAGAAACAAGAGGATGAGAGGACAGGGAAACTATTAAGATTCTAGAAAATATGAATTTGATCAACTTTCCACATCCATGCATTTTGCAAAGAGCATAGTTTGGAAAATGTCCATTAGTACTTGCGGTTCACTAGTAAGACTCCTCTATCAATAAATCTCCACAGCCCTAATATCCTTGTTTCTCTTCGAAGGTGGGTATCAAGTAGATAATGGTAGGAATAAAAGTGCTCTGAAAATTTTTCAGAGAGAAAAATAAAAGCAAAAATGAATTTAAACAGCTACAATTTAGGCACTCTACATGAGCTAAACATATAGAAAACAACCATTCTAAGATCGAACTGAGCGGTTCACAATTACTCTTTTACATTTTGCTTGCATACAAAAAGACATTGTTCGAAACTATGAAGAAGACAACCATTAGTTTCCCATCCTCAAAATACAGTCATTCAAGACTAAACATAGATAAACATCAGCTTCACAAATTACAACCATCCATTCCAGATACTGGTTGGACAGGATGCAAAGAAATTGCATGAATTTTGAAACATGATACTTGCGCTTTTCCGTTCTGTCTAACCCAGCAACCTTTTATTCTAGGAACTTCTGTTAAATATAACTTGGAGTTCGCTCCCTCTTCCCTTCAAGAAAAGAATCGCTGCTAAGCTTTGCTTTCAAGTTAATTTTCACAATGCGGCTATGTATTCGACTGTCGCAACAAGTCAAATAAATTGGTTGATGAAGGAAACAAGTGAAGGTTGTTCAACATTATCTTCACAGCGGCCAAGATTATCAACATAGTATGTGGAAGAGCACTGAAGGTGGAAAGCAGACTGCATTAAGTGGCCATTCATGTTGGGGAAGTAGAAATGGTTGATAAGGTTATGGTCATGTTCTTAGGAGGTTGTACGCTCAAGGTAGGTTGATGGAAGTAAGAGTTGAGTATTTTAACTCAAGGTATTTTTGAAACTCTAAGGAAACCATAGGAGGAGCAATATATCATTGTGGAGTCCTGTAGCTCAGTGGTTAGAGCACTCGCTTTGCAAGTGAGAGACCTGAGTTCATTTCCAGGCAGGGCGAAACCTTGGGCAAGTTTCCTTACTCCACACGCCTAATAATAATCCCTCCAAAAAACCAAAAACAATAATTAAATTGGTCATTTTTCAATCTCCGACTGTTTGTGGGACATTGCTGTGCGCAATTGGCTGCCGCGTTCGCCCACAAATATACAGTCAATTCACTTTACAGTGTGTTCTGTGAAGCGCTTTGGGACGTCCTCCCGACGTGAAAAGCGCTATATCAAATGCAAGGATTATTATTATTATATTATTATTATTATTATCATGGGATGTCTTTGATTTGAATGTACACTCAACGCTTCTGTATATTACTGAGATTTGGACCCAGGTGGTTTGGTTACTTTTGGAATATGTTGTGGAGAAGGATACTGCATATTAAATGAGAATAGTGTGTAATTAATGGTGAAACTGGGAATAGTGTGTGATTAAGGGTGAAACATTTGGAGATGTTCTCTCTGGGCAAAATCTCAGTTTATTATGACAATGGCAAAGGACACGGTACCATTTTCCACATGAGAAGGCCAAGCCTAGAATAGCAGGAACTGTGTGTGAGAAAAACACAAAGTGGAAGATTCACAACTTGCTGCAGAGCAGAGTGTATAACAGCATGGTCTTTAATGTGAAGCTGTTTGAATTTACGCTGTGAAAGCAATTCCCAATCTCCCCAATAAAACATATCTAAGTTAAGCAGCTTTGAGTAAATGCAATATATAAATGTTTAATTGCCTGTGACTTGCAATCAAATTTATCATAATATGGTATATAAACTCCCTGCTTGTCGGCCTCCCCAACTTCTCCCTCCAGAGGCTGCAGATCATCCAGAACTGTGCAGTTTGTGTCCTCTCCCGCACTAGGCTCCACAACCCTGTTACCCCCATCCTCGTCCGGCTCCCCATCACTCAGAGGATACAGTTCAAGATTCTGGTCCTAACCTTCAAAGCCCTCCATGCCTCGCTCTTCCCTACCACTGCGATCTCCTAACCCCCTACCAACCTGTCTGCTCCCTCCACTCAGCATGCCCAGGCTTGCTTCATGTCACCCACCTTGCCCGCACCACCATTGGCAGGCGGGCTTTCAGCCTCTCCGCCCCACCCTCTGGAACTCCATCACACAGTCCCTCTGCCTAGCCCTCTCCCTTGCCTCCTTCAAGACCCATCTCAAGTCCCTTCTCCTCAACCTCTTACCCCTACCCTCTCTCCAACCCTCCTGATTCCAACCACCAGCTCGGATGCGGATCCCTGACTATCCAGCACCTTGGGACGTCCTCCTGACATGAAAGGCTCTATACAAATATAATTTATTGTAGTTATGCTTACCCTTTTACAGTCCCACTCACTGGAAAGCTCTCCCAAAATGTCTTTGCCTTGTGTAGTCTCACACCGTATTTAAAAAAAACTCTTCAGTTAAAATCCCTGTCCCCGTTCTTCCCACTTTGCTTTGTCATCCACACCATCATATCAAATTAGGAAACAGAAATAGATTGTTAACCTGGTTGATGACTGCTGGTAAATTCGTAAGTTTAATAAGAGAAAAATGCCTCAGGAGAAAATATCTTTAGTATAGATCACACCCTGCCATATCTATTTTTTTTAAATTATGAATTGAAGAAGGCATCTCTAATCAGGAGATAACTTCATTTGTTTTAGGTTAAATAATAGAGATGAGTGTGTGGTATACCATACATACTGCCCAACCTTCCTATGTTAATGTTGCAGTTTAATTGGGAGACACTATCTGCAACATGGAAAACTCAATATTCACCACGACAGTCTCTCTGGTAAATAATTTTGTATGTACATTTTGCCAATCATTGTGCTACTGTAATAAAACTAACTTTGAACTGGAGGTCATCAGTAGAATTTCATTACTGTTAACACTACTTAACCACACAGTTTCGCTGCACACAATTGGTCTACACACATTGAGGGTGAAATTGAGGTTATCACACTGCATGGCGAGATATGAAATGCATCTTAATGTAGTGTGATGTCAACATCTCAGCACCGCATTTCTGCCTAGAGATCACAAATGTAACAAAAAGGGACTTGGTTTGTGCAAGTCCCATTTTGTCTGCAAGCCTTCCCAAAAGAACCCTCAATCACAGCTCCAATAAAATAAAACTCAGTTGGTAATATTCTCACCTTTGAGTCAGAAGGTTGTTGTTCAAGCCCAACTTTGGGGCTTTGAACTCAGTCTAGACACTGGAATGCACAGCAAGACACTACCCCAGGTGAAGGACCCTATATAAATACAAATGCTGTGCTGCCTTCAGATGATACATTAAACTGCCTGTTCAGGTGGAAGCTAAAGATCCCGTGGCACTATTTGAAAAGAGAAGGGAGTTTCTCCTGGTGTTTTAACCAACAATTCCCCAAATAAAATTGGTCATTCACTTCATTCACTTCATGCCTGTTTATGGGACATTGCTGTGGACAAATTACTTGTTGGGTTTGCCTACAAAATACATGGTTGCTACACTTTACTGTGAATCCTGTGAAGGAATTTGAAAGTCCTCCTAATATATATCAAATGCAAGGATAGTAAAAAAAAACTATGTTTGGAATTAGAGTCCTACAATTGTTTAATAGCCACTGTGCGATTTGCACAAAGATAACTCATGTCATTTTAATTAAAAATGTAACAAAAAATATTTACAATATGGTATAACACCTTTCGCGTCAAGATGACGTCCCAAAGAGCTTCACATGACATACTGCAGTACAGTAAACCCCCGGCTTACCAGAATTCATAACAGCCAGACTGGGACTGAAACAGAAGCATTCTTTAAAAATTCCACGGGCTGTATGTAGACTTCCTTTAGTCCATTCTCCCAAGGCGGTCTCACCTTCCTTGCTGCCTTAGGCGCCCAGGACTCTCAAATTTAAATAATAATAATCCTTGCATTTGATATAGCGCCTTATCACGTCTTCGCGACATCTGAAAGTGCTTCACAGACTATACTGTAAAGAGAATTGACTTTATTTTGTGGGCGAAACTCGGCAGCTGATTGTTTTGACACAGTTTGAATCCCATAAGCAGAAAGTAGCTTATTCGCAATCTTCTGCTTGTGGGATTCAAACAATGAAAATGCAACGAGTATTTACTGTAATTTTTCGGCACTGAAAAAGCCTGTGCCAAATAAAGCTGGTGAATGCCGGAACCGGCATTGTAGCCTAGCTGGAAATTCTGGCTTGCCAGATTGGGACCTCCCCACATTGGTCTGGCCAGCTAGCATTTTAGTGTAGCTGTATTTTGTGAGCAAACACAGCAATTTGTGCACAGTGATGTCCCACAAACAGACATGAAGTGAATTACAAATTTATTTTGGGGGACTGTTGGCTAGAACACTGAAACTCCCTTCCCTTTTCCAAATTGTACCATAGCACCTTTAATGTCCACTTCAATAGGCAGACGAGACCTCAGTTTAACATCTCATCTGATGCTGCACAAAAGTAGCTTATTTTTTTCAAACACCCTATAAACAAACTACCTGACAGCAACCAGGTCAAAACTATACTTAACACATGCTCCACTCTTGTGATAAAAATGAAGGCAACTGAATTCCCACCAAGTGAACTCTATTAATTCAAGTACCAATGGTTGCAATAACTATGCAGGCTACTGAATCCATATTTATAGGAGGATTTGACTAAAAAGGTGGTTGAGGCCAGGATGCTAGATACATTTAAGGACCGACTCAATGCCATTGTAGGAAGAAGTTTAGGCTGGTATTCTGAAAGGATGAGATCGAATGGGCCAAAGCGCCTTCTTCATCTGAACCTCTCTGGTAATTTTGTGACAGCTAATGCATTAATTAAAAACATCACAATAGTGCTGTAATAATAGCCAGGATAGGAGGGGTAATTGTTTCAAAATCTGAAGTAAAAAAAAACGAAAGCAAGAAAAAAAGCAAGAAAGAATCAGCAACTTTTGATATGAACCCTCCAGCCCAGAATGTGAGACATATCACCCTGACTAACCTCAGAAACTTCCTCTTCTTTTTGGCAGAATCGTCTGGTGTTTTGAATTGTTTTCTTTCCTGCTTCTCAGGGGTCTGTAGAAATGCTTGTGCAGTCTTCAACCAGTCGCTTGCTGACCGGACAGCTGTCTGATCACGGTCAGACTCACAACTAAATACATTTAGTTGACCTTGTAATGTCGATGAAATACGCTTTTCATGAAGCTTGCTTTCTTTTGAACTTTCACTATCAGATGAAAACTCTGAAATATCGTATGCTGCCTAGAATAAGAAAGATCGAAGTTATATGAGTATCTTCTTGAATCAGATTTTACAGCTAGCTGTGGGGGGTAAGGGGAGAAGGGAAGGAGGGTTAAGTAAGAAAGATCCTGCTATATCATAAGAACATTCATAACAACATAGAAAATGCTAGATGAAAAAAGACCAAGGTCCATCTAGTTCGCCTTACACCTTCCTGGTTTTCTAGACGTCTCAAAGCGCTTCACAGAATATGCTGTAAAGTGAATTGACCATATATTTGTGGGCGAAATGCAGCAGCCAATTGCACACAAAAGGTCCCACAAACAGTCGTGGATTGAAAATGACCAATTTATTGTTTTTTATGGAGAGATTATTATTAGGATTGTGGAGCAAGGAAACTTTCCCAAGCTTTTGCCCTACCTGGAATTGAACCCAGGTGTCTTGCTTGCAAGGCGAGTGCTCTAACCACTGAGCTACAGAACTCCACATTCCCTGTACCACTACCTTCTGGGTTCTTCCGGTCAACCAATTGCACATCCATTGTAATATACCTTCACTGAATCACTCTTTTTTTTACTTTCAATACCAAGCTCTCAAGAGGAACTGTATCAAAGGCCTTACTGAAATCCAGATACACAACATTCACAGCCTTACCCTTATCAAGCTCCCTTGTCACACCATCAAAGAAAACCAGTAAATTAGACTAGCAAGATCTCCCCTTCATGAACCCATATTGACTATCATTTATGATTTTATTTCTGTCCAGATGCTCCATGAATTTATCCTTAATAAGACTCCATAATTTTACCCACAATGGACGTCAAACTTACTGGTCTGTAGTTTCCTGGGTCACGTTTGTTACCTTTCTTAAAAATACGAGTAACATCTGCCTTTCTCCAGTCCCCCGGCACCTCTCTATGATTTTTGAAAGATTTGTGCCAGCGTTTCTGCGACTTCCTACCTTTGTTCCTTAAGGATCCTTGGATGCAATTTATCCGACCCCTGAGATTATTTACCTTAAGTTTGCACAGCTGTTTGGCAACCATGCTGGTAGTGATATGAATAGTGCCGCAACTTTCCTCTGCGACATCCTTGAGTTCTCTTTCCAGATCAGATAGGTTACCCGTCTCCTCCTTGACTGATGCAAAAAACTTATTTAGCGCTACTGCAGTCTAGGCAGCATTATTTGTCATGTTCTCTCCGAACCCACCTTCAGTGGCCCTATTCTAAATGATTGTTTTTCTTCTCCCCTTAATATAACTAAAACACTTTTTGTTATTATCCTTCACATCCATTCTGATGTCTTTTTGCTGTCCAGGCATCATGTTACAATGTTTCAAAATACTTTACTAATTACTCTCAACTGTGGTGAATGTGTTTTAGGAAAACGAGACAGCCATTTTACCATACAAATACCATGAAGCGTAAGGGAAATTATATGTGGAAATTTGTTGACCACTAGAATGAGGGAATCTGCCCTCATTTTTTCAATAATCACAGAAGATGTCCACCTGAACAGACAGATGGGGCCCGAGTTTAACATCTCACCCAAAGTGGAATTTCCAAACTGAAGTAATGTGCACGAGAACAGAATTCACAGAACTATATTGTACCCACTTCTACCCCAAAATAATGTGGTTTCTTCCTCTATTAGAGTATAATTACAACAACAACAACTTGCACTTATATAGCGCCCTCTACGCAGGGTAGCGTCTCAGAGTGCTTAAACTACACAGGTACTCTTGCCCAATGGCCACAATTCATGTGGTATCTTTTATAATGATTGCTGTCAAGCTATTGAACCTGGGGAGGGGGCACAGTATAGCCCAATACTAATCTCCAAAACACTGGATGATTTGACGTAACTTTGCATAAGTCATATTAAATGTATGGTGCTAACTGATACGACTTATGGGAGGTTTACTGTATACTCCACCACCCACTGCCTCCACTTGATCGGCTCCGGCCTCCTGGTTGTCCCTCATGCCCTCTGCTCTACCATAGGTGGCTGTGCTTTCAGCCACTAAGCCCCAAAACTCTGGAACCCTCTCTCTCAATCCCTCTGCTTTGCCTGCTCCCTCCCCATCTTCAAATCGCACCTAAAGACCTCCCTTTTTGATCATGCTTACGGTCACCTCCCCGTTTTGGGTCCATGACACTTCGTTAGAACTGAGTTCAGACGACGTGTCGTGGACCCAAAAGGTTGACTCACTTTCCTTTCTCCATAGATGCTGCCTGACTTGCTGAGTGTTCCCAGCGACTTCTGTTTTTGTTTCACAAAACTCTATAATGTTTTAAAATGAATAATGTCCTATAAAACGTAGATAGAATGGCAGAGACAATAATGTCACCCAGGTTTAGTTAAAAGGTATCCTTAGGAGGGCGCTGTTATACTAAAGAGTGAGTTATTTAGGCAATAATGAATGAAAGAGTTCACATATCAAGGGTTTTGCCACATAAAAAGCACAGAATTAGAAAGCAGTTTGGCTCATTCAAGCCTACACCTCCTCAAACCACATACAATTTTCCTCATCATAGTCTCTACCCCACTCTGAATCAGCCTCCTAAATGTGAGCTCCGCAACATTTGCCTCATTCTCAGATGCTGGCAAGAAAATTCCCAAAAGATTTATGTATACATGCACTTCTGTTGTTCAAGACTGCCCAATAGTTCCATGGTCCAAGCTGCATAGACACCAAATATTCCCTGGAACATGATTACCTCCGTCTACACATGTTCTTAGCAAACAGGAACAGGAGGAGGCTATTCAGCCTGTTCTCCAACTTTATTTGTTCTCGGCAAATCTTTGAATGCCAATGCCCCTATCTTTTTCCATACGCTTCAGTACTTCTACTACCCAAGTGTCTGTTCAGCTCATTTTTAAACATACCTATTGATTCTGCCTCTACTGATTTCTGGGGCAGAACATTCTACATCTTCACAACATTGATTTGTCAGACTATACTCCCTTTAAATAGATCAATTACTTTCATTATTTTAAATACATCAATCAAATCACTTTTTAACTTTGGGGTACTGTTGGAGCTTAACCAGTTTAAACCGCATAGCTTGCCATTGAAAGCACTGCCTGGCCAGCTTATCCTGCTTATCCAGCTAGGACCACCCTATCCATTACGGCTTTGGTTTGCAGGGTTAATAGGAGCTGAGTGGGAATCGTCCCTATCCACAGTGACTGGTCATCCCTCCAAACACTGCCGATGAGCCTGGCTCAGGACCTGGACTACTGAGACCGCCGAGGAGGATTGACTCGATTCCAACCTTCCATTGTCAAGCATATCACCTTGAAGCCAGTTCAGCTCCAGGAGGCCCCATTTACCATTCTCCCCAAAGAGGATAGTAAAACAAGTTGGGCAACAAAGCTCAAGAATACAGTGTTAATACAGTCTCCAGCTATCGCCCCATCTCCAACCTCCCATTCCTCTCTAAAGCCCTAGAACAAGTCGTCATGTCCCAGCTTCGCTCTTTCCTCTCCTGCGATTCCCTCTCTGAACCCCTCCAATCGGGTTTTCTGTGCTGCCCATAGCCTGGAAACAGCCCTGGTCAGTTACTAACGGCATTCTGAACATCTGTGACCAGGGCTCTCTCTGCCTCCTTGTTCTCCTCAACCTCTGTGCTGCCTTCGACACTGTTGACCACTCTATCCTCCTACACCGCCACTCCTTTCACCTCAACCTGCCCTTGCCTGGTTCTAATCCTACCTCTCCCAACGTGTCCACTTTGTCTCCACTAACGACTTCTCCTCCAGCCCCCGCACCGTCACGTGTGGCACCCCTCAGGGCTCTATCCTTGGCCCTCTCCTTTTCAATATCTATATGTTCCCCCTTGATAACATCATCCCCAATATGGGGTCAACTTCCACATGTATGCGCATGACACCCAACTCTACCGCTCTGCCTCCACGCTCGATTCTAGAACCTCTTCTGTCATCACAGACTGCCTGTCAGACATCAAGTTCTGGATGAGAGCTAACTTCCTGCAGTTGAACAAGACCAAGGGCCTCCTGCTTTGCTCCCGTCAGTGCCTCCATATCTCGGGCGCTGACAGAATCGCCCTCCATAGATACACTCCGCAACATCACCCAGCTATGACACTGTCTCAGACCAAAGGCTGCCGAGACCCTCATACATGCACTCATAACATCCAGGCTCAACTACGCAAAGTCCTTCCTTGTTGGCATCCCCAACCCCTCCCGCCACAGGCTGCAGATCATCAAGAACTCTGCAGCCCGTGTTCTCTCTCGCACCAGGCTCCTCGACCCTATCACTCCTATTCTCACCTGATTCCATCACAGAGGATACAGTTCAAGATCCTGGTACTCACTTTCAAAGCTCTTCATGGCCTTGCTCCGTACTACCTCTGCGACCTCCTAACCCCCTTCCAACCTGCCCGCTCCTGGGCTCCGGCCTGCTTCACGTCCCCCACCTTCAGCCACTCTGCCCCCATCCTCTGGAACTCCATCCCACAGTCCCTCCACTTCACCCCCTCCCTTGCCTCCTTCAAGACCCATCTCAAGACCCTCCTCTTCGTCTGTGCCTTCGATCACCCGCCTTCCCCCCTGCCCTCCACCCTTCCCGATCCCGAACCCCTGCTCGGATCCGAAACACCGACTGTCCAGCGCCTTGGGATGTCCTCCCAACATGAAAGGCGCTATACAAACGTAATTTTGTTGGTGTTGATGATACTGCATGTTCATGCTAAACATGAAGCAGATATTATCAGTTCAAACCCACCCAACAGTTAATGGAAATTTTCAACTCATCATTCTATCATGCTGATAGCAGATCTCAACATTGCTACTCTTTCACAAAGGATCCAGTTTAACTCGATCACTGTCAGCAGTACAATATTTTACATACTTCGAATGTGTCATGCACATTCACGTGAATAAAGCTCACAAATGCACAAGGAATACGTCAACCAGCTCATCAGTAAACTAATCCACAGGAAATAAAAAAAGGCCGGAAATGCACATTAAGTGTAAATATGCTTCAGCTGGTAGC